CCCCCGCTATGCCACATGTTTCTTTACAAGAGACTATGCAGTACAGATAGCATGATGTTATAACCCTGGCTACAAATGCATTAATTTAGCTATTTAATTTCCATTTCAAAGACAATTAGTAAAATCATATGGTTAATTGAAGAGCTCATTCATTGCATTTCTGTTTAATTTAAACACTGAACGAACATAAATGAGGGAGCTGCAATTTTATATTAAGGACATATTTACATCTTGTGTAGGCCTATAGATTTCCTTGGCATGGATCATGACCGCCTGGCTATCATGTTTGTGTTTGGAGCTGCTACTGGATCCATCGTGCTTCTTCTGATCTCTCGAAACATTTCAGGACACAGCAATGTTTGGGAAAAAGGTACTAGTTTTCATTCATACCCAACAATTAGCAGGTACAAAAGATGGTTTGCAGTTAGCAGGTGTGACAAATGATGCATATATGTACCATAACTGGTTAGCCATAGCCATTTGTTAGCGTGTGTAAGTTTGCAGGTGGCGCATAGTGATGGCATCACAGTCGATTAGTGATGAAATGTCCCTCAGACCTCGAGAGGTTTAGTAAAAAAGTCCCTTGGCGCGTTTTTCCTAAACCTCTCTCGGCTTTCGGGTGCATTTAATCAATAATCGACCTGAATGCCATGCTATAATTACTTGTGATAAAACCACAAAATTCACCAAAGATTGTCTCGTATAAACACTTCTTGTTTAGTATTATATTCTAAACTTGATTTATCAGCGTTCTCTATATCATAGAAGATCCTGGTGTTTAGTAGGATCCGCTACCGAAGCCTTAATGAGTAGCCCATTACAATAAAATTAAGGAAACATTCAATGATACACACTCTTGAGCCTGACATTTCTCATGCAACCGCTATCCTCCCATGTATGAAAGTTAACTGCAAGACTTAATTCTCATGCAATTCGTATTTTCGTTTGACCATGCATGTACGCTTTAACAAAACATTCTAATTATCTTCTAGCATTTCTTCTCATTGCAACCTGCATCGAATATGCTTTCCTTTATTATCCCTACTTTGGATGTTTGGCATCATATCACAGAATAATTGGAGCATTGATGGGACTTCCTTATGCAGTAATTTTGTAAGTAGAAGCGACGTACGTTTTTACGCCGACTGGAAGTAAATCGCACCATTATAGATGGTGCCAGTGCATTTTGATGACGAATCGTGGTGTGATTATTGTACTTTTTATTGTAGCTTTGTTGTGATCTTGACCGCAGGTTTGCAAAAATGTAATGTAAGTTATTATGAGCGTAAAGTCCATTTTATTGTAGCTACTTGCGCATGCAGATAATGTATATGATTCGAGTAACAGTGTTAGTATGTTTGTTGGTGGTGACAAAACTTCGGTTGGCAGTGATGCAACCACCTTAAAAATACAAGGAAAAATTCGACGTTTAGAGCGAAGGCCCTTTGTCGGAAAATTAGTGGTGACTTTGATAACCAACTAACGACAGCAATACATCCCCAGGGTGCGTTAATTCGCTTACTTACGTACCAGAGGTAAGTCAATATTATGGTCTGGTAGATCTTCATTTTAGCCAAGTATCACGTACGTAGGAACGCGAAACGTATTCAATACTGTAATTTTGCTGGTATATGTATAAGTCTGACATGTCTTGGCATCAAACATAATTGGACAGATGGCACTGAGAAACGTTTGAGTGGATTTGAATATACTTATATGTACTTTATCATTATGTACATTACTTTAAAGACGAAGTGCACATTGAGTATTGAGCTTGTACTGGCACAATGTTTAACTTGGCACAAGAAAAATTTTACAGAAAATTTTCCGAAAATATATCATTGTTAAAAGATGAAAATTTTCAACTTCAAATTATTTTTTTTCGACGGAAAATTTGCGTTGGCTAATCACATTTTACAAAATTTTCTTTCTGCGGAAAATTTTTCTCCGTGGAAATGGGTCTTAAGAATATTGAATTTTCGCACCCTGATATACTACAGTTTGAGGCCGGTTGTATAGAAACATAATAAAGTTAATTATGGTTACAAATTTTTCACCTGTTAGACATGAATCTATATCCAGTAAATCCTGTAAAGGTTGATTAACGACCGCTGACAAACATTTTGAACATGATTATGGACTCGTTACTATAGTTATACGCCCAAGTGCAACCAGGCTTTAGTTCTTGACTCCATGTGTATTTCAATCATTAGGGCTATACGACGCATGAATACGCTGCTTTAATATTATCTAATGTGCCAGTGATATTATGTCATCTGTTTATTCTGGGAAAGTTTGCACTCGTACTTTATAAGGAAATCAAAGAGTACGGAACATGCGGAGTACACTTCTTTTTTCGGAAGGTAAGTTTTGGGTTTGCACGACCGCAAATCCTCACTATTCATTGATTCATTCATAGACCTTTATCACGTTTTGAGTAAATTTCAATATGATGTTAGCAGGCTATAAGTACCAGAAATGGCTAGGCTATCACATTTCGTGCCTTCTGATTGGCTACGCTACTAGTAGGCTATTAGTGATAGCCTACTAATAGAAAATTCAAAATGGCGGAACATTCGCGTTTTGCACTTTTGCCGAAGTGTCTGATGATTTTTTGGACGACTTGTTGAACAACTCTGTACTAAAAAACCCCGAAAAAAAGCAACAAAAATATGGAATAGGAATTTTTAAGGGTAAGAAAATAGACAAAATAACATACACTCAATGAAATTTTAAAATAAAAACTAAATTTTGTAAAACTCTTTACGCGAACAAAAACTGAAATATTTGTTTACCTTTAATGGTTTTATAATGTTTTTTGTGTATTTTTGTATTGTGTTTGCAGCCTAGTTGTAAATTAATGTTAAAGTTTATACTAAAACAATTAGACAACTCGGCCTCGTTGTATATGAGCAAATAGTCAACTCGGCTTCGCCTCGTTGACTATTCGCTCATAGACAACTCGGCCTCGTTGTCTAATTGTTAATTGGCCATAAGGTGCCTTTATATTTGCTTTATAAGGTGCTTTATATTCATAATACTGCTTTTCCTCTCTTTAAATTCAACAAGCGTCCCTATTTTGAATTCACGACATTTTTTATTCAATATTTTGAGCCATCGCTTGGAAGGTGACTGTGTGTCTTTAATTATCATTTAGGATGAACATTCAGAAATGCAAGTGAAGTCGGTCCGACCTTGGTTGAGAGATTACGTTAAGGAGCTTGTTAACACAAAGTATGTAGATACAATGAGTCGATAAAAAACCTAATGAAGATTTGTATGTCACCGTGCAGTGTATTGTCTGCACGAAAGTACTTGGAATTAAGGAAAGGAAAGGAAAAAAAAAGAGTTGTGTTTCTGAGTTTCCAGTCTTCAAGCCAAGTAAACTATGCGGAAACACTGCTTCACTTGTTTACTTGGTTTGAACACTGGAAACTCATCCACGTTTTTGTCTCGAAGGTTTATGCATAAATTCACAGGGGGCAGAAAAGTACGATTGTGTTTTATAAATACCTTGTCATCGACCAATATCCCATATTTATATCACAACAATCCGCAGACAAAGTCATAAAAGGATAAAAATTAGCTGATTTTTATATTTTCGACAATATCATGCCTTCTACTTCATGTAATTCAAACATCATTGCATTGCAACGACAATTTCCGAACATCTTACGAAAGGGTGCCGAGGCTGTAACCCGTATATAAATAAGAAAGGGATGAAACGCCGAAAATCTTTCGTTCAATGTGCACCGCAACAGATGGTGACGGAAGTTACCTCGACATTGTAACCGGAAGTAGAACGGAAGTTGAAGGAAAATTAACCTATCATCTTCCATGACCTTTTAATCGAATTAACGGTTAATAATTTGAATGACAACAAATTTTAAAAAATATTGCGAAATTCAAACTCAAATTAGTCAAATATTAATATGGAACGTTTTGTTAACTAAAAGAAATGCGAATCACCCGATTCAAAAGCAACATACGCTCTTGTATCTAGATGGTATAAAGCTTTTCAATAATTTTAAAACATTTGTTCTTGAATCGATCAACCGTACGTGAATATATCCACGACTTTGAACTTTGTTTAATATGACTG